AAGAGTGTGTAACCACATTTTTCCTCCTTCCCAGACTCTGGGTGATACTACATACAACTTGATGACAGGTAACTGTTTTGATCGTGCTCTGTCGAATGACTTGTTCAGCACTGGGCCATAGTTCACATCAGAGCGGCTGCCCCAGCGCTCCACAAATAACAACAGCCAACAAAGCAGAATATCGTGGAGGGGGCGAGCGGGCACTGAGAGAGGGCGAGACTGGCTCCAGGGCCAGACATGTGCTTGCCCTCAGCTGCCTGGCAGGGCTCAGCTCCGTGCTATGCCGCTAGCTGCCTGGAGCCCCTGGCCTCTTCCCGAAGTGCTGCTGCCACTAATTTGAACTCAGCTCTTAGGGCAGGAGGAAGGAATGTGCCACGTCAAGGCAGCACTGGGTGGGGTCTGGAAACACACTTTGCAGGGAGTTTCATCAGCTGCAGGTTTCCCCTCCCCAAGCAGGGGGAAAGAGCCTTTCAGGCAGCTGATAATGCCGCAAAGCGCAGCTCTATTTGCATGTGCTATTTCCCCTTAATTTCTGAACTGCACTATCCTACTTGCAGCCGTTGAGCTACTCTCCTTCCAGCAGACAGCCTGTGCTGGGAAGCTGCTATGCTGCTGTCAGCGGGGGTCTAATACTTCACAACACGGTTGTTGCGAGATTCCAGGAAGCACAAGCAGCTCATTGTGGTGCGTGCAGCTCTGCTGGTAATCAGCAGAGGAAGGAATTATGGAGTCACTCCCATTAATGACAGTCCTCACGTTGCAAAGTGACAAGTTTCCCAAAGTCCTCACGTAAAGAGAAGTAGCAACCAGTCTGGCAGGGTTGCCTCACGCTCCTGTCACAGCAGCACATCTCACTTCCTAGGTGTCTGGCAGGACCGGACTCAGCAGATGCCACTATCTGACACAAAAACAAGTTTAGAACAGGCAAATCCCTCCAGTGACACAAGTCACCTCCACAGGGAAGCCCTTCTGCTTCTGCTTGTCCCAAGGGAACAACCTGTTCTCATAGAGAGAAGGCAATCGCAAACCCCTTGATAAGGTCGAAGCTATTTTTAAAAACAAACCACTGGTTAGACGTGTGCCCTAGAAAGCATCCCTTTAATTAGGCTCCGGGGGAATTTGTGGCTGCAAGGAAGCACCCGCCACAGCCTGTTCCGCCCACAACAGCCCGAAGTGCTGTGCTCAGTGTGACGTGGCTGCCTGTCACCCCAGGCTGCACACCCAGTCTTGCTCAGATAAGCCAGAAAAGCACAGTTGTAAACAGCAGCGTGCGTGCGTTCCTTCCACGGCACAGGACTGTATTTATAGGGCTGAATGCAAGAGGCTTAGGACAGGGTGAAGGACAGCCATCTCCAACTGTGACCCAGCTCTAAGGGCAGCAGGGCAAGAGCCCAGCTCCACCCTCGCTCATTGTACAACTCAGCCAGCAAGCTCCATAAAACATCTTTATTCTGTACATTTATATATAGATGCTTGGGGAACAGGGACAAACCCCAGCATTAGAAAAATTCAAGACAACAAAACAGCAATTATGAAGAGCATGGCACCAAGAACAGTCATGCCACAGATGGCAGGGACGAGGTGAGACCAGCCATCAGCTATTTCAGAGAAGGTCACAGCACCCCATGCCTGCTTTGGGGCCGAAAACACCAGGGCTGCTGCAAACAGCTCGAGTTCCCCCCCCACCCCCCAGGCAGCTTTCTTTGTGACCCACTAGCACCAAAGGGAAGAGCCTGCTGGCAGCTGGGTCTGTCCTCCTTGCAGGCATGGGTGAAAGACCATGTCACCATAACACCCAGACCGCTGCCAGGATCCCAAGAAAGAGGGACAGCGACCCTGAGCCAGCAGCTGCTGTCTCACTGCTGGGCTGATGGGGAAGAAGCAGATTTTCAGCTGGGTCAGTGCTCCCCCTAAGAGACAGGTCACTCCTCTCACTACTGAGCTGCCTCTGAATCCCTTCATTGATACCACCATTGCACCAGCTTCCCCACACCTCAGTGTGCTCTTTGCTGGGTGCAGCCGCCACCTCCCCACCTGCCAGAGCCCAGCCCAGCGGAGAGTGCCGCTTTGCGACATCCACAGATCAGCACGGGCCGCTCAGCCCCGCAGGCACTGCCTGTGCCAGCAGCCCAGGAAGCAGAACTTGCTCTCAGGATGGTAGAAGGGCTGCTTGGGTGTCCAAGTGCTATCACAGGCCCTCGCCCTGCTCTTCGGTCAGGGCTGGCAGGCCTGGCTGAAGGCCTGTTGTTCACAGCAGACACGTTTGGTCTAACAGTCAACAATAAAACCAAAAGCCTATGTACAGCTACACAGCCCCTCTGCACCCTCCAGGCTACACAGGGGAGCTGCATGACAGCGAGTGGGAGACAAATGTGCCCCACTGCACAGAGTCCTTGCTGGCAACATCAGCTTTCCTCTGACAACAAACCCCAGTGGCAAGGGAAAAAAAGAATCCTTCCTCCAGGAGAAACAGAAATAAAATCACGCCACTGTCAAATCACATCTAAAAAATAGAAGTCACCTGGTTTTGTGTTAGTAATGCAGCCTGTCCTCCTCACACATTAGGGCAAGCGTGTGAGGAGCAAGCTGGGCTGGGACCTGGAACAGCCACTCCAGGGAGCCCACTGCTGCCAACATGCAGATGACACCGTCAGCCGAACATCCATGGAAACAACCTGCACACGCCAACATGGCCCCGCTCTGCTCCACGGAATGGCCTCCTCCCCAGCTGCTGCAAGGAACAGACGCAAGTGCAAACTTTGCCTTCACGACATTACGTTGGGAGGCTGTGCCACTCGGAGCAGGCACAGCTTCCTGGGAGTCAGAAAGTGGGATGCTGAAGGGGTGTGTACATGTGAGTGGGGAACGGGACATTTGTCCAACAGTAAGACACTCAGATTGGAGTAATGCAAAACCAACACACAAATGGACACACAGCAGATTAAAGCCAACCAAGATTAAAACGGTTAAAAAGTGTCCTGAATGCATTCTGAGAGGTTCAACCAAGCCCCTGCTGTGGGCAGCAGGGCCTCTTCCATCCCCTGCCCAGAAGGATGTGCTGCAGGATGACTCAAGAGAGGACTGTTATCAACCCAGTGCTCTGAGTGGAGAAATGGGACCAGATCTTGTGTCAGAGATGGAAAAACATCCCTTCACTGCTAGTCTTCAAGGGTTCTGCTCCTCCCAACCAGTAATTTTCAAACAGTAAACAAAGCCAGAACTTGCCTGCCCAGGTCTGCAGGTGCCTCTGATCTATTCTGAAGAAGGGCAGGGTAACGAAAGCTGCAGGCGATGTGGAGAACACACTTAACTTGCCCCATGTACGGCACTGAATGCGAGACACTCTCCCAGGCTCCATCTGACAGTGCGGAGGAGGGACACCCACGCTAGAACGGGACAGCAGCAGCTCCAGGCATCACTCAGAGAGCCACGGGAGCTTCCATCCTTCTCCCCGGGTGTTGGTGAGCAGAGATCTCTCTGACCTAGTGGTAGTCAGAAACTCAGCTGCCCAGGCCCCAGGGACTCCTCCAGGCCGTTTTCTTTGGTGGTGATGGCTTGGAGGTCAGTGACGTGCCCAATGCCTTTGGTGACTCCTTCACGGAAAAGCAGCTTGGCTCCAATCTTCAAGTATTCAGGATGCTTGATGAACCTGAAACGGACGACTGCCTTCTCTCCTGTCCGCAGCTTGTCCTGAATAGAAAAAGGGGAGAGCTTAGACCCATCTACCATACCAATGCATGCAGGAGAGGTACATGTGGATGCTAAAATGATGAGGCAAATGAGCAGGTTGCCTCCCTCAGACTGCATGGCTTGAGCCCTTCCCATTATTGTATACGTAAGGGGAGACAGGAAGACACAAGCTCTGGAGAATGGAGAGTTCACCTCCCTTCACAGTCTTGCTGTAGTCCATCATGCTGCTTGTTTTGTGAAGAGGGAATTCTTTAACATATTGGGAGGAAAAGCAACCAAATGGGCAGGATAAAGGGATGGAGTGTGCTCCTAGGAAGGGACACAGCTACTCAAGATACCAGTAGCCCCAGGAATCCTAACAAACCCCACAGGGAGGTCCATCTCCCTCCCCTTTCCTCCCATGCCTACCTTTCCGTGGATCTTCTCTACGATAGCAGTCTGTCGCACATTCCCCACGTGCACCGTCACCTGAAACCCCTTCCGGAAAGTCGTGGCATGGAACAACAGCACGATCTCAGCTTCAAACACTGAGCAGATGGTGGGGTTCATTTCTGGGCTCACCATGACCATGCCCTGCACAACAACCCAAAGCACAGACCAGTTAGGGCCAGTCCCCTTGCTTCTAAACAGCCCCGAAAACCACAAACACATCTCCACTCTGTGACTTGGGCTTGCATCCCCTTCTCAGCCTTGTACTCATCCTACTTTGTAGCCTGGCCATTTCCTCCCCTTCCAGCAAGTTTCCTGCAAACATCTCTACTTCATTCCCACCCTACCAATGTGGGATTACCCATGGAAGCCTCCAGTCCTGCTCACTGGACCAGTGAGAAACCTGGCAACAGCAGGACTCACCTTGCGCAGCAGGGAGCGGTCAAAGGGTCCAAGGGCCAGCGTGGCTGCCTGCCCAGCCCGCAGAACGCGGCAGGCAGAGCGGTTGCGTTGGATACTGCACACTTTCAGCCGGAGGAACTTCCCGTCATCAGTGGGACCAACCACCAGGTTCTCCCCTTCTCGGCAGATCCCACTGCCCAGGGTAGAAGAGCAGGACAGAGTTCATCAGGAGACAAGGAAGGAATTTCACCATCCAAGACTGACCTGCACAAACTCCCCATGGACTCTTACCCAGGACCAACTAACAGGGATGCAAAGCTGGTGGAAACAGGGATTTCCTACAGTAGGAGCGAAAGCCACACTATCACTCCTAAGAATACCAGGTACAGACAGGGGCCATTCTGTCCCCAGTGCTCTGCCACACTGCATCGTTTCTGGCTGGAGAGACTGCAGTTGACGCCTTTTCTGTGTGGATGCACTGGTAGCCAAACTGCTCTGATCACTCCTGAACACTGAGGGACAGCTGCGTTCTCATGGGGCAGCATGCAGTTAACCTCTGCTGGGATCGGAA